CGGATAGCACTCCTGATGCAAAGAAGGAGCATGAGAAGTGGGAGCGTTCAAATCGCATGAGTCTTATGATCATTAAGCGCGGCGTTCCGGAAGCCTTCAGGGGCATAGAATCCGAAGGGATTACTAAGGCTAAAGATTTCCTTGCCGAAATTGAGAAGCGTTTTGCGAAAAACGATAAGGTAGAAACAAGCACGCTTTTAGCTCGCTTGATTTCAATGAAGTATAAGGGCAAAGGAAATATCAGGGAGTACATTATGGAAATGTCTCATATTGCTTCAAAGCTTAAGGCACTTAAACTCGATCTTTGTGACGAGTTATTAGTGCATCTGGTTTTGTTGTCTCTTCCTGCACAGTTTAACCAATTTAAGGTCAGTTATAACTGTCAAAAGGAGAAATGGACTCTAAATGAGCTCATTTCATACTGTGTGCAAGAAGAAGACAGGTTGAAGCAAGATAAGACAGAAAGTGCTCATTTGGCCTATGCCTCTAAGGATAAGGGCAAGAAAAGGAAGAATGATAAGGAAGCTGCTAAGGGTCCAGTTGAGAAGAAACAACATAAGGATAATCAGGGTTGTTTCTTCTGTAAGAAGCCTGGACATGTAAAGAAGGACTGTACAAAATATCACGCCTGGCGTGATAATAAGGGTACGTTCCTTGCTTTGGTCTGTTCTGAGGTTAATTTAGCTTCAGTACCTAGAAACACTTGGTGGTTAGACTCTGGTGCTACTACTCACATAAGTGTTTCTATGCAGGGTTGCCTGAGCTACCGAAAGCCAAGTGATGTTGAAAGACACATCTTTGTGGGCGACGGACAATCGGTAGATGTGGAAGCAATTGGGCACTTTAGGTTGTTGTTAGGAACTGGTTATTATTTGGATTTAAAAGATACTTTTGTAGTACCGTCTTTTAGACGGAATTTGGTTTCTGTTTCTGTATTGGACAAATCAGGTTATTCTTGTTCATTTGGAAACAGTCAATTCAGTTTATCTTTTAATTCAAATGTTGTGGGAACCGGTTACTTGAGTATTTATGACAACCTATATTTGCTTGATACAATTGCTTCTTACAATGAATCCTTGCATGTGGAATCACGTGGTACTAAGCGTAAATTAAATAAGGAAAATTCGGCGACATTATGGCATAAGCGCTTAGGTCATATCTCAAAAGGTAGAGTTGAGCGTCTTGTGTCTGATGGCATTTTGGATTCCCTTGATTTTTCGGACTTCGACGTATGTGTTGAATGTATCAAGGGAAAACAGACCAAAGTGAAGAGATTAGGTGCCAACAGATCTTCGGATGTCTTAGAATTGATACATACGGATATTTGTGGGCCATTCCCTACGGAATCCTGGAATGGTCAACAATATTTTATATCATTCATAGACGATTACTCACGTTATGGGCACCTATATCTTATTCATGAAAAATCTGAGTCTCTGGACATGTTCAAAGCCTATAAAGCTGAAGTTGAGAATCAACTCAACAGAAGAATTAAAACCGTCAGATCTGATCGTGGTGGTGAGTACTACGGTAGATATGATGGTTCAGGTGAACAACGTCCAGGACCATTTGCTAGATACCTAGAGGAATGCGGTATCGTCCCACAGTACACTATGCCGGGTTCACCTAGCATGAATGGTGTAGCTGAAAGACGAAACAGGACTCTTAAGGATATGGTAAGAAGTATGATTGCTCATTCTTCTTTACCAGAGTCACTCTGGGGAGAAGCACTTAAGACAGCAGCTTACATTCTGAATAGAGTACCAAGTAAAGCAGTTGCTAAAACACCTTATGAGCTTTGGACTGGTCGAAAGCCCAGTTTAAAGCATTTACATATTTGGGGATGTCCAGCTGAGGCAAGGCCTTATAGGCCAAATGAAAAGAAATTGGACTCCAAAACAGTTAGCAGCTACTTTATTGGGTACCCTGATCGCTCTAGGGGCTATAAGTTTTATGATCCCACTATAAGGAATATTTTTGAGACGGGAACAGCAACATTCTTTGAGGATGTTGAGTTTGGGGGGAGAAATAAGGTTAGAGACATTAGTTTTGAGGAGGAATTGGCTTCAGATCCAATCCATACAGTTACTTTTGACAATATTCAGGTTCCTATACCTGTTGTTGCTCAAGAAGTAAATCCGGAACCTCAAGATGATAATGTTGAACAACTCCCTGTTCCAGAAGAACAAACTCAACAACCTCAAGAACCAGTGCCATTAAGGAGATCCACGAGAGAAAGGAGAAATGCTATTCCGGATGATTATATTGTATTTCTCCAAGAACATGAGGAAAGTAGTGGAATGTTAGAAGATGATCCAATCAACTTCTCTCAGGCCATGAAAAGTTCTAACTCTCAACAGTGGATTGATGCCATGAATGAAGAGTATAAGTCTATGCAAGACAATAAGGTTTGGGAACTTGTCCCATTGCCAGAAGGTGCAAAACCAATTGGTTGTAAATGGATTTTTAAAACCAAGCGGGATGCAAACGGTAATGTGGAGAGGTATAAGGCGCGTCTTGTGGCTAAAGGCTATACTCAAAAGGAAGGCATTGATTATACAGAGACTTTCTCTCCGGTTTCATCGAAAGACTCTTTCAGAATAATCATGGCACTTGTTGCTCATTATGATCTTGAGTTACATCAGATGGATGTTAAGACTGCATTTCTCAATGGAGACATTGATGAGATGATTTATATGGTGCAACCAGAAAACTTTGTGTCAGGAGACCCAAAGAATATGGTTTGCAAATTAAGGAAATCCATCTATGGACTCAAGCAAGCTCCTCGTCAATGGTATCATAAGTTTCAACAAATAGTTATCTCGTTCGGTTTTGAGATGAACATTGTTGATGACTGTGTATATCACAAGTTCAGTGGGAGTAAGTATATTTTTCTGGTTCTGTATGTGGATGACATCTTGCTTGCCACTAATGATATAGGCATGTTGCACGAAACCAAGAGATTTCTATCAAAGAATTTTGAGATGAAAGATCTTGGGGACGCCTCTTTTATATTAGGGATCCAGATACATCGAGATCGCTCTCGGGGTATTCTTGGATTATCACAAAAGAGCTATATCGATAAGGTACTTAAAAGGTTTGGCATGCAAGATTGCAGACCAGGTGACACCCCTGTTGCTAAAGGAGACAAGTTTAGTCTCAATCAGTGCCCTAAAGGTAACCTTGAAATTCAGGAAATGCAGAAGATTCCTTATGCTTCGGCTGTAGGAAGTCTAATGTATGCTCAGGTATGTACGCGTCCGGATATTGCGTACATTGTTGGGATGTTAGGCAGATACTTAAGCAACCCTGGTATGGATCATTGGATAGCAGTCAAAAGGGTTATGAGGTATCTTCAGAAAACAAAAGATTACATGCTCACATACAGAAAATCAGAGAAATTAGAGGTCATTGGGTATTCGGACTCTGATTTTGCTGGATGCCAAGATAGCAGGAAGTCTACATCAGGCTACATTTATATGTTAGCAGGAGGAGCTATATCATGGAAAAGTGTCAAACAAACACTAGTAGCTTCCTCCACTATGGCAGCAGAATTTGTAGCTTGCTATGAGGCATCCAATCAGGGAATATGGCTGCGAAATTTTGTCACGGGACTGCGCATTTTGGAAAATGTTGAAAGACCACTAAGGTTATATTGTGACAATAAATCTGCAGTAATGTATTCCAATAACAACAGGAGCTCAACTAAGTCAAAACATATTGACATTAAGTTCCTGGTTGTGAAAGAAAGGGTACAGAGTGGACAGATATCCATAGAGCACATTGGGACAAACTCCATGTTAGCTGATCCTCTTACTAAGGGATTGCCACCTAAGGTCTTTCATGAGCATACTGCTCATATGGGTGTGGTATTATTTGAGGATATTATGTTTTAGTGGGAGTTTGTATTTGTGGTGCTTTATGTTTGTTTGTATTGTCTGATCAGAATAAAGTTTTCAGTTAAGACACTCTGTTACATTATGTTTGGTTTTGACCTCACTAAGGAGGACCAGTTGAAAATAGACATGTACTGATCACATTGCATGTAATTTTCATGCTGCACATCCATGATTGATCTATGTCATTTGATTGTATTGGTATATGTGACCATTGATGGGTCGAGTCACGATAAATGTGATGAAGACCGCTTTGATCCTATATTGATATAGTCAATGGACGAGATTGTTCGGAAATACCATTTCAGTGATAGCAATTTTTGAGCTTATAAGGTTATACACAGTTTAAGGAATCATATGGTGCCCAAGTGGGAGATTGTTGGATTTAATCTAATAAATCTATTTGTGGGCACATATGATTAATCAATGTGTATTGCTATCTTTCAGGATAACCCACTAAAGTGATCAATTAAGTTGGGTTAATTTGGTATTTAAATAAGTCATGGGGTTATATGTGCAGATACCAGGTTGTAATTGTAATTTATTGAGGGGCTAAATTACAAAAGTACAACATCTATAAATAAGGGGTTATGGTCCCTAACCTAGGGTTACATTCTCTAATTCTCTACACCCCCATCTAGCTAGAGAAATTCGGCTAAAAGAGAAAACCCTAAGGTTAGAAGATCCAAAACCCAAAATCAAGATCAATCTATGGATTCAGGTATAAGCTTCCGCTCTCTTTTGATTTTGTTAATCTCTTTGAATTAATCATGGCTATATGGTTTTAGATCTCAAGTTTTATGATGTAGATCTATCAAACGAAACAACAAAATCTGCATAGTACGACCATAGAGGAAATCAAAAGAACAGGATTACAATTAAAACTAGGAACACATCTTGTTCATGGTTGGTACATTTCATTGAACGAGCAAAACATCGCCTCCTTTCTACCTTACAAGGCACAATTTCGCCCACGGATTTAGAAAATTGTACGTCTCACCAGGTATCTCATCAATAACGTAATAAACAAATGTCAGAATATAGTCACATAAATAGAGAAATTGCCTGAAAAACGTACGATATCTGCTCCCAGATACCATGATATAATCAAAACTGAGAAAGAACTTTTATCGGGAACATCAAACAATTCAAAATTAGTTTGAAGGGAGAGTAATGAGAATCATGGAGGGAAAAGATAAGAACGAGCCCCCCTTCAGATCTTGTTTCGGTTGTACCCGCAACTCGAAGAAAATGAATCACCCATTTCACATACGAAGAACATTACATTTACAAGGGAGGGCGGTGAATTGAGCAAAAAAAAACAGATAAGAAATCACTTCCAACAGATCTTGGCTCAGCTCCCACATTTGGTAAAAGAGCAAAAAGGGTAGAAGAAAAGGCGCTTTTGGTTCTAATTCTAAATACGAGTCTCCCATTCTTATTATACCAAGTATGATTCCACAACTGTTCGTCCAAACTTCTCTTGCACATCCTTGGGTGTTTCAATCTGCAGAATTATGGGTTCAAAGATCAGATAAATAACTTGAGCCGGGGGAGGGGGGGGGAGTGGTCTGATGCTTTACATTTTACAGGGGTAAGTAAATTAGGCAATCGTTCATAAATTTAATTTCAACCAGATTTCTTTCAACACCTATTGACTCAATTTAACTACTGAGTTATCTTGGGCTCTCAAGCTGCATCTGGAATTGTCATATGATATGAAGATCACAACATATGATGGAAGATCACAAAAATATGATGAATGCAGCTGGATTATTCACATTTGAAAGCAAATCTGAGACTTTGGCCTTGCGTTATCAAAATTCACAGATGTTTTAGAGCAGAACGCTGATTCCGATCACATTTATCAAAGCCTAATCAGATGTACTATCCTCACTAAAATACAACTGCAGCAGCCAGGGATGGAAACAGCTAAAGTGAATGGGATGGCTCTACCCTATACTCTTTTTGAGTTTGGAAAGCTTGACGTTGGTTTATACCTCAAAATTGTAAACATTTCGGCAAATGATCACTGATAACGAATTTCCGTTTGATTAGAGAAACTTTCCTGATTTTCAAACCAGAAAAGGCCTCCCAGCTTCCCAATATCGCTAGAAAATTCAATTGTTCACTTGTTTCAAGATTTAGAACTCTGCTCCTCGGTGGCTAAATTTTTTTTTTTTAAAATGATGTGATGCTCTACTTCATTAACTTTACTTTTATGCACATGGAATGTCAAACAAAAATTTAAGAGAGAATATTAAAGGTGGTGTTTAACTTACAGCATTTAATGCTTTGAAAAGAGCTTTGACAACATTTAACGGGTTCCTTGAACCGATAATCTGCAAAAGCAATTACCAAAGTATCAATGAGGGGTCAGATAGGAAGTGTTAGCATAAGTTACTAATATTTGGAAACTAACCTTCGACTTTACATTGCTATAACCAGCCAAATACAATACAGTTTCAACTGTCCGGCCTGCTGACATCCCACTCCTCATTGGACCAGGCCAGAGATATATCTGATGAAATAATGCAAAAAAAGATTTAGCCATAAAGATCACTGCTGATCTGAATAAGGTTACCAGGTAAATGGGAAACAAACCTTGGTTTTCTCATAATGTGTATGGATAGCATGAGCAATTGTATGCCCTTCATATCGATCCACATAATGAAGATTCTGGAAGCATTTCTCATATGCCTGTAGGATTATGAAGCAAAAATAACGTCTTAGTTCATCGATTTTGGACTGAGGCTCATTAACATATTGCAAATAACACTGCTACTCTAAAGGAAACCGAGCTTGTTGATTCCTTCAACAACAACAACAAAAGATTTTTGATGCACAAGACCAGTACCTTTACTGTGGACAATATTGACCAAGATTACCCCGAAAAAGTTAAAGTGAATATAGCATTGAGTTTACTTTAAGATTAGATGAAGTCTAGCAGATGATGACACATAAACTAAACACACATGCGCGCACGCACACACGCACACACACAAATGTATAATATAGATATTAAGGAATCATCTGGTTGAAGCATTTTTCGTTGAGAAAAACATTGATATATAAATATACCCTGCTTCAAAAAATTTAAAAGAATAGGTGCATGTGTATACTAGAAAATTCTGGTAGCAAGTATGAGTACATTTGTATGGCCACCATGATACGGCAGATCAAGAGACTAAATCATAAGTCTCCAAATAGGCATGGGTTCTCAAGAGAGAAAAAGAGAGAAAACTATAAAGTCAACACAATCACCAGGTATGAAGCTTATAGCAGGTTCTCAAGAGAAAAAGATTATGAAGCCAACATTACATCTGCAAGATATGATGCTGGAGACATGTCAAGAAAAATGTTGGCATTATGTCAGATGAAAGCTGACATGCTGGTGACACTGAATGAAAATAATAGAAGCTATATCAACCTTCATGTCAACTTGTTGACATTAAAATAGTGGTGTGATGCAGTGATGGTGGTTTGCGGCTGCCACATTCATCTCATTGTCTAGCAAAATGATCTATTTAAACTACTTTTTTACAATAAATTTTGAACATGATAATAAATATTCAAGTACACTAAAATTTGAATAAAAAAGTCAACTGTACAAATACTTCACCGACCCAAACCGATATTGTGTTTGGTTGTCGTCTCTTAAACTAGTCAATAATTACCACTCTTTTAGTATAGTTTCCTAATTAGCTGTGATTTGCCACTTAGTTTCCTAATTCTATTGTGGTTTCCTATTCATAGTGGGAATAAATTTAGGTTTATGCCCCTTTATAGATGGCCAAAACAGTCCAGCCCACTCACTCTCAATTCAAACTACTCATAGTAATAACATTGTCAATGCCGATGCCTTCCTCCTCCGCTAGGCCATTCTCACAGCCCCAGTTGACGTCTCGCAAGCCCATCATCTTGGGGAAGCTTGCTATCTCGAAGATAATGAAGCAGTTGAATGTGAAACCTCAAGAGGCTAACTGTACATTGACAGCAGAACAAACATTGACAACAATAGGCTAAGTGGACATAAAATAAAGTCAAAAAGTGCAAGTTATAGACCTAAAATTACTGATCAAGGAGAATTCTCAATGAGAAATACAGTTCAAGTGACACGCAGAACAAGCAATCATGCATTAGAAACTTGTATCAAGATGTTGAAGTAACAGATAACAATTGTCACTCCCCTCTAATTCATGGAAAGGTAAATGTTCTGAATCATTTGCTTAAATACTTACCCTTTGAATGGCAATCTTAGCATTTGGACCTTTAGCTTTAGCAAAACCCACAACTCCATGGTAATTTCCAGTAGCTAACAGTGCAGTGTATTTTACCAGTTGACCTCCCTAAAAAGTAGAAGACAAACTTAGAAAACTAAAAGAACATACTGCGAAAAAGAGGTAAAAGGAAACGAACCTTTGTAACTTTGGTTGTCCGATTGACATCAAGAACCTTCACATCAAAGCCCTGTAAATGTCAAAAAGTTGATCTGTACATCAGAAACACTTAGTTCTTAATTTTGGCCATACATAAAAACCAATATAGAAGCTTCACATAAAAGTCCTGTTTAACATAGAAAGGATTTTGTGCCTTTCATTTATGCATACAAATAAACAACAATCTTATTGTTCAATGCCTTCGAGTGACCAAAATAACAATAGTCATACATGTGCAACTACAGGGAGGCTATCATAGAAAAAAAAATTGTTAGTACAATATTCTTAAAAAGTAAACCCACTTAAGCTTTCATGCAAGTAATCTGCGTTGCTTTTGTAGCCAAAAAAGTTGAATTTATGTGCCACCATAACTTAAGCAATCTCAACCAGCAAATCCTTTCATGAAAAAAATATAGAATACAGTACGGCATGAACAAAAGAATAGCCCAATCCCACATGCACGGAATTCCAGATTTTATATCCACATCTGTGGTATAAAAGCGCTAGATAAAACAAAATTTTTAGCCAAAGCCATCGACAAGAATAAATTTAAAAGAAAAGAACCTATAATAAAAGCAAGCAGATGCTTTTACAACACGAAAAAAGAAGGAAACAAAAAGAAAAGAAAGATAAGTTTCTCATGGATAAGCAAAGCAGCAAATTTGAAGATTTGTGATTAAAGCAACCTTCAGCTATCATATTAAAGTTTAAATGGATATAAATTTTTTGGCATAGCCACTATATAAGAATGAAGAATGTAAAAATTTTGAATATATTGCATATATATTTATATATATAATGTGAGGTAAAAGTTCACAAGATCATGAAATCAAATTGAGCATCACGAGTCAAGCTTTGGAATAAACAACAAAAAGCAAATGAGCTACAGAATTCCTCCTAGGCAGTCATGCAAGTAGCAAGTCTGAGATGTGAAGTTTACAAAAGTAGTTAAGACTTACTTTACGGTAAAGAGGTCTTCTTTTCTGTTCTGTCAAGGAATTTCTCTCCTCCACCAGATCTCTTATCTCCTCCTCCAGAACTCTGCCCTTTTTACCAAATGTGTGATCAAGTTCCTCCAGCTTCTGCTCAATCTTCTTCTCTATAGCATTAAGTTTCTCCAACAATAAATCATCATTTTCTTTAGCTTCATTAAATTCTTCATCTTCATCCTCCATGTCGGCCCCTCGGATCATCGCTTTCTCCTTTTCAAAACTAGTATTATCCACCAACTCATCAGGAGAACCAACTTGTTGATGTTGAATAATGCCAAAATTTGCAGGATTATTAGGGTCATAAGCCTCCTTGGTTTCCATCAACCTCACAGCTCGATTTAGCTTCTGTAAGAGAATGAATCTTTCCTTTCCAGTAGATTCCTTTAAACGGTTCATCATATCACCTATAACCCTGTATTCCAGCGGAAGTTTCAAATGTTGCTGCTCAAATTTGTCAATTTTAGTCATCCATTTGTGTGCATCATCAAGAGTTTCTGGTACATGATATAAATAAAAGTGAGGTTCCATGACAGAAATAACTAGTTGCAACTTAGCTTAATTTTCAAGAGGTAAGTTTCACGAGCAACATCCAGAAAGATAAGCCATAAGCAGTAGGCTAGCATTTTATATCATGGAAATGTGAATAAAGTGCAACTTTGGGATGTTCTGAATCTCACATGCAACTATCCGACCAAAGATTTTAGAGGGAAATGATTTGTATTCTGCTTAATTACTGCGAGATATAACCTTAAATAAAGTTGTTCATGGGAGATATTACCTTAAAACTCATCAGAAGAAGCTGCCTCTTTTTGGGGGATCCTCATGAAATGTATTTAAAAATGTTAACCACATATTGTCATGCTAAATTCCTGGCATAAACAACTACTGATGTAAAAAAATTCCGGTACTATGTGGGGCATCTAGGTCAAATAGCTCAAAAGGATAAAGAGAAATTTAGAATAGAGGATATTTCACTGCCAACACTACTCTATAATGTTATTACAAAAGATAATCCACTTCTTGCAATAATCAAACAAACTGAACTTTGTTTGCAATCAAACACTATATTTCACTTTCATACTAATAAAAAATTTGACCTTTTCATCAAGAAAGATCAAAACTCTACATTGCGCTTAAAAAATTCAATAACAAAGACGGGAATAATTACCAGCTTCTGCAAAATTCTTAAGCAACTCCTCATGCCTCTTACACTTCCTCTTAATCTCATCCTCCCTCTTCTTCACCTCCTCCGGCGACCACCTCTCGTCGTCATCGCTCTCCGAGTCCGTCGGCTCCCAGAACTGATCAATATTCTCCAAATCCTTCGTCTTCTTCTTCTCCAGCTTCTCGATCAACGGCCCGACTCCAAGATAGTCCTCTTCATCCTCATCCTCCCCATCGACCGCGACCCCGGCCTTTCTCTTCTGCTCTCTCTCCAGCTGCTTCTCTCTCTCGGCCTCGGCGAGGAGCTCTTGGATCACGCGGTCGCCGGCGACGGCGCCGGCGGAGAAATGGCGGTGGTGGGTTTGGAAATGGGGTTTGGGGATGGAATTTGGCGGGAGAGAGGTCGAGAGGGGTCGAATTAGATGGGGAGAGGGTTTTGTGGGACGATGGAGAGAGATGAGACGAGCCCATCGGGAGAGGCAATTAGGGTTTCGTGCTGCCATTGACGGAGCTCGACAGAGAGTGATTTTTAGGGTTTTAGAGTTAAAGCCGAAAGCGAGTGCTCAGAACAGAAGCCCTGCTGAGGATGTAGACGGGTCGGGTTTCGTTGGATGCTGAAATATCCAAACCCGGATAGGAATTCAAAGATTTGAGGGACTCGTACTCGTATAGTCGCATGCAATTAAGTAGTGAGGCCTTGAGGGACCAGTATCTAATCAGGCTTAATTTCACTGAACTACCCTATACTTTCCCCTACTTCGCTAATTTTAGAACAATTTAACTCTTAGTATTAGTTTTACTAGATTAGATGCATGTGCATTGCACGTTGTTAAATATTGTTTTTTTTTTATCTATTTTCTTACTTAAAGCGATTGTGAAATATTTCTTTTATTTCCATGTGAAAAAATAAAATAATTTATTATGTATATACCTATGTAGCTAATCAAAAGTATTAAAATAACCATGACTAAGGTCAAAATTACATGGCCAATTCACATTAAGTATAATTTACAGTAAATTGGTCAAAATCCTTTTATGAAAAATATAATTTTTATGCAAATAATTTGATTCTCTAATATAGAGAAAACCCCTTTTTATATAAAGAAAAAACTTAATTAGTAAAATTTTATAACCAAGGATAATTCTAATTGGATGAGGATTCTCAGGTAAAAATAGGATTGGGTATCCACATGTAAAGTAGAGATTTGATTATTCAAAATTTCTAATTATAGATAGTTTTAGTTTGATGTAAATTCAATAATAAAGATAAGATTAGGTATCCACATGTTAGATTCAAATAGAAAATATTATATTTTAAACCTTCAAATTTGTCATCAACTAATAATTTGGGTGAGGTAATAAACTTAGTTTACTTAAAGATAATTTTTCTAAATTTTCAACTTTTCCTACACCAATGATATATTACAATATTATATTCTATTTGATTTTGTATTCTTACAAAATTTTCAGGGTCTATTTATAATTTTGAAACTGTCAAGGGTTGATTGTAAAAGCTTTCAATAGCTGTTTTGTAAATTTTTATGGGGTTATTTGTATTTTTTTTTAAACTAGGGGTTTTTTGTAAATTTTTCCGGGTCTAAACAATACAAGTGTTATGCTTGTGCCTGCATAGGCAGATTTGCTTTTATTTGTTTACTAAAGTTATGATGACCAGTAAAGTTAAGGAATAAAATGATTTTAGAGAGAAATTTATTATTATCATGATTTAGGAGCAATTTTAAAAATACCTACATTTTAGGGAGTACATACTAAAAAACCTCAAAATTAAAATATGGGTAAATTTCGCTAAACCTCAATTAAGCTTAGTGTTTAAAACTAATTCCCCAATATCTTTAAACCTAAACCTAAAAACCCTATAAATTTTGGTATAAACCTTTAAAATTCACATCATTACTTCATGTATAGTCAAACGACCAAAATAAAACCAATAAATTTGACGTCTTTCCACTTAACCCCAATATTTTTTAGCAAAACCCCGAAATACCGTATATTTATAATTTTACGATTTTTTTGCAAGTTTGTTCATAATTATAGGATTTTTTAAGAGGTTGGTTGCAATTATTGGATTTTAAAGTGGTTCGTTTCTAATTTTAGATTGTGGGGTTATTTGTATTTTTTTTATATTTTTTAGAACTTTTTATAATTTCTTGAGATTTCCTTATAATTTCCTAAATTAGTCTATTTATGTGATTTTTAGGGTGATGTTTAAGATTTTTAATTTTTAGGGTGCCATTTGTAATTGCTTACTTTTTATGGATTTTTATTATAATTTGCATATTTTTCATGTGTTTTTTAATTTTTAAATTTTAGGGGGTTGTTTGTAATTCTCAATTTCAAAGGGGTTTGTTTGTACTCTTTCTATTTTTAAGAGGTATTTTGTAATTTATGAACTTTTTGGGGGTCATTTATCAATTTAGAATGCTAAGACTCTTTTTTCAATTTTTAGATTTTTTTTTTTTAATTTTAGAAACCCTGTAAATTAACATATGGGTAGGTTCACTCAACCCCCAATAAATTTTGTGTTTGGAACTAAATATCCAATACCTTTAAAACTTTCACCAATCTCTAATAACTTTTAGCAGAAAACACTCAAAATTAACAATATTAGTTCATGTGTAGCAAAATAACGAAAATACACCCTAATAATTCAATAAATTTTATGTTTTTTTCATTTAAATACCAATAATTGTTGGGAAAACCCCAATGTTTATAATTTTTAGATTTTTTCAGAAGTTTGTTTGTAATTATTATAAAATTTCAAGAGGTTGATTGTATTTTTTGATTTGAGAGGGATTTGTTTCTAATTTTTGATTTTTGAGGGGTTCTTTGTACTTTTTTATATCTTTTGGGGTTTCTTTTTGGTTTCTTATAATTATCTAATTTAAAGGGTTAGTTTATGATTTTTTAGATTTTTAGGGGGCCGTTGAAATTTTAAAATTTTAAGTATTCTAGTGTATCACAGAAATGGCTAAGCGTTAATCTGTAAAACCCCGAAAATTTGAATATTATGTAAAAAATAAAAATAAATATATTATATGATGAAAAATAACATATTTTGATGTTTGAGTATGATAGGAATTGATTTGAGAATAATTCAATGTATATTTGTGAATATATGAGTGCAAATGCACAAGACATGCACGAAGAGAAATCTGGAAAAATGTCTATTTAAAAGTTTATATGTTTTACACACCGATGCAGTTTGAATCTGGAAAAACTCAAAAGATCAAAGTTGTAGGTCTCTTTAATAGCTTTACAACATATCTTATATCATCTCATTCTGAGGTCTGATGAGAACGTTACAGCCAAAATACCGAATTTTAATTTTCTAGTCAGACTAGGTTTCCTGGTTCGGGTCAAACGGGTTTATTTCAGGTTTGCACACACACACACACACACACACACACACACACACACACACACACACACACACACACACACACACACACACACACACACACACACACACACACACACACACACACACACACACACACACACACACACACACACACACACACACACACACACACACACACACACACACACACACTATATATATATATATATATATATATATATATATATATATATATATATATATATATATATATATATATATATATATATATATATATATATATATATATATATATATATATATATATATATATATATATATATATATATATATATATATATATATATATATATATATATATATATATATATATATATATATATATATATATATATATATATATATATATATATATATATATATATATATATATATATATACCTGTGTTTTTACAAAAAATTATCATCCTTATATCAGAGTTTCAAATCCTAGCAGCCCATCTTCCTCTCTCTCAAACCCTCGCCCTAAAGTGAGTTTTTGGGAGAGTTTATGAGGAGAATGTCAAGGAAAAGTCGGGATTTTCGGTGTTTGGCGACAGGGTAAATCACTTGCAGTTCTTTTCAGAGACTTGTACACGTGCAAATGCAAGATCACCTCTGTCCAAACCTTTTCCTTGAATAAAATTCATGTTTTTAAGAAATTTATATGTTTAACTTTATGTTTAGGGTTTAAATCTAATGTTAAACATGTTATATGTGATGTTTATGATTAAATCTTATGTCAAGAACAGTAGACCAAATCTGAAACTAAGGTATTGACATGATCATGATCATTAGAGTTTATTTTAATGAGTTAATTAAAGCTTTATATGATTTATATGCTTTAGATTGTCGAAATAAACAAGAATTAGGTTATTTTGCATGTTAAACCCTAGATCTATGTATTCATGTGATTCATCTTGTTTAAACAAACTCATGGTTAAGTATACATGACAATGGAATCAAGTTTTATTCATATAATCTGATAAAAACCTGAGTTTTTAAAATGGTTAAGTATACATGACAATGGAATCAAGTTTTATTCATATAATCTGATAAAAACCTGAGTTTTTAAAGAAAACACGAGAGAAGAACAAAGGAATCAAGTTTTATTCATATAATCTGATAAAAACCTGAGTTTTTAAAGAAAACACGAGAGAAGAACAAATTGTGCATTTTCGGCCTGTTCGGTCGTCTGAAGTTGCCATCAGTCGACTGACGGGAGGTCATCAGTCGACTGATGACACGCATCGGTCGACTGACGGGCTTGTGTTTGCCCTAATGTTTTGTGAATAACTCTATCAGTCGACCAATGAGGTTGTCAGTTGACTAATCAAGTCGGCTTTTGTGAGATTAAACCTTTTGCTTGTGTGTTCGTTTTGTGAGTATTTTTGTGCAAGACGTGAGCTGATATTCATGCATAGTTTGAAGAGTACACGTATGGGGATTGAGTATGTATGATTACATTATTTGGGGTATCCAAATAGGTTACAATTGTTAAGAATAACGGGTATTATTATATATATTATAATTATGATTGGTTGGATGGGGTTAGTCAGGTCCCGCAATGAGACCGCGGATGGACTATACTTCGAGTGCTTTAGTCAGGTCCTGCAATGAGATCGCAGATGAACTACACTTCTTTATCAGTCCGCATGGAGATACGTAGAGGTTGAAATACCTATTTATTAGCCCGCATGAAGATTCGCAGAGGTTGAAATACCTATCTATCGGTCCACACGAAGATGTACAGAGGTTGAAATACCTATCTATCGGTCCGCACGAAGATGCGCAGAGGTTGATATACATATCTATCAGTCCACACGAAGATGCGCAGATGTTGATATACCTATCTATCGATCTGTATGGTTATGCAATGAGTTATTATACTTAGTTACCGGTCCGTACAGGAGTGTGATGAATTAACATACATAGTTATTGGTCCGCACGTGAGTGTAATGAACTAACATATCTATTGACATGTCAGCACGGGGGTACGACGAGTTAAAGTATTCCAGAGAAGGACGATTCAATAAATAACCTAAGTGTAGGTGAATATTGACATCATCGATATGATCCATTGTGAAAGTATTTCACTACTTACATACATGAGTGTGTCAATATCTGTTTTACCCACTAAGGGTAGTATGAGAAGTTGA